TTTTGGAGATTATATTCTTTGTTTTATATGCTAGGACTGTTGTACCATCTTACTTTTGTAAGCAGGGTGTTGGTATCTTTGCTCCATAATGGAAATGGATCCCCCTCGCTATTCGCACCCTGTCATTTCGCATTTTGATCGTTGTTTACAGTTTAAACAGTCGTTGAATGTCCCCTATCTCTTTTCCAAACGCCAAAGAATTCCCATATTCTCATTCTATAGCTATTTCACGACCGCCTCCCCACTAACTTTGCTTCTTAGACACCTTCTAAGAGTCCTAAACTGGCATCAATGTAGCTTTTGCCTCAAATAATTTTTCTTCTTATGCGACTCTCGACCATTCATGTCACCAAATTGGGCTAAAGGAGTAAAGGCTCTATGGTACTCTATCTAGATAGAGAATTATGAGAAATTTTACATTTAGCAAGGTTCTAACCTAAGCAACTCATACAATAATGATAGGTTTTCAAGAATCAATATATACTAGGTTTAATAGTAATCAAATCATATATAATGGCTTATTGTAATGATTGAAAAATGTTGACTAGATATGTGCACGCCTCATCTCAAGATTTTGACATTTACAACCTCTAACACTTCATTTGCAACCAATAATCATATAATACAGTCATGACTCTTAAAACATGAATAAATACTCAAGCACATACTCGAAGTAGAAGCAAATGCTATTAATATGAGAAGCTAAGCACTCGTAGAATTTTTTATCTAATTTATTAGACTGTTTTACATATTATATCAATTATATCAGACAAGCAAGTACAAAACATGTTTGATTACCAAAAATATTAAACAATCCAAGTGCAAACATATATGAAAGCTCGGCTCAAAGTTCAACCCAAACATGAATAACTTGTATGACCAAGCTAAGTATAAGAAAATACATAGGACGATAAAATTTTTCGATTTAATTGATAACTAACATCACATATGAAACAATTAGTTTGCTTCTCAATGTTTTGGATGAAGAAATTTAATTGCCAATAAAAAATTATAATATAAAGGAAGAAAAGGAGTTGGTATTTGTAGACATATTTTTTATCAAATATATTGTTATTGGTTCAATTCCTACTCGTCACACTAATGCCCACTACTTGAAGAAATTTCAAGCATTCATTTTTCCTTAGTTATTGTAGCAAAGATTTGTCTCTTTTAGTGACTTCTTAAAATCTTGTAACCAGCATGGTGCTTGCCCCTTTTTATAAGAAATAAAATCATATCATATAGATTTTATAAAGGAGCGTAGAGCCAATTATAAGATTTTAAGAAGTAAACCCTCGATACAAGAGTTTAATGAAAATGCGCATCTAATATTTTTTTCAAGAAATAAGCAATAGTGTGAGAAGTAGTTATTAAATTCATGATCATATTATTGGAAGTTGGAGAATGAACCACTAACACAAGGCCCAAATAACAAATTTAAGGACTTGAATGCTGCATCATTCTTGCTAGTCAAGTGTCGGGGATTGTGGCAAATTTTTTAATTTCTCTTTCATAGCTAATTCTATTTCGAAGCAAAGAAACTAAACATCGAAAAAAGCCTTTTTTATAGAGTATAAAAATAAGACTTTTCCCTCTGATCCCCGACTCTCTCTCTGTTTACTGTGCTCTCTGTCCTCACACAGTATCATCTCTTTTTTTTTTTATGGAATGACTTTCTCTTCGCGATTTGTGGCTTTCTCATTTGCGGTTTGAAGTGCGATTTTGCTATTTCTAGCTTTCTCATTTGCAGTGTTTGAAGTGAGAATTTGTATTTTGTGAATTGAGAATTTGTACCATTTACTCCAGTTTGAATTAATGATTTTTATATGCTAGAAAAAGTTCTAATATGTCATTATACAAATTTTATCCCAACGAGAAATATGAAGCAAGATGTATATAACTTTCTGAATTCTATTCCTCGTGAAAAAATAGAGATAAATATTGACCGCTAACTATCACTAAAAGAACAAATATTTGATACAATAACCAAGGGCTTGTTTGGGATCAATTTTCTTTTTTTGTTTCTCCTTTATTTTAAAAAACATATCTGTTTAATGTGTTTTTAATATATTTATATTTTTTGTTTCTAAAAAAAATATTTTTCAAAGCATTCAAAAACTATCACGTCCTAATCAAATAACAAACACATTTTACATCAAATAAAAACATAAATAAAACAAAATAGAAACAAAAAATAGAAAATAAAAACCAAAAGTAGTCTTCAACAAGCCCTAAATAAAAATGAGCATCTTAAACTTTCCCAAGAAATGAAGAATAATGTGAGAAATATGAATTGGACGCATGACCATTCTATTTTTATTTTTACACCTTATATTTAATAAAGACATCTATAAACACAAACTCAACTTCTTTCCTTCCACACTATTATTTTTATTTTAATAGAAAATTGAAACTCTTTCATCCAAAAAGCTCATTAATTTCAGTTAACAGCCAAAATAATTGTTTGATATGAGGTTATATATATATATATATATGATAGTGTCTTCTCCCGTGCGTGGCATTGCTAGGGTTTTGCCTCATAGTGAACCCTAGCGTCTGTTACGGCGTATTAACAAATCTTACGGTCAATCCTTTCCTTTGGTTAGTCTCACTGCGTCTGTCAAGTAGTCCTTTGTCCTCGTCGTCGATTGGAAGGTCGGTTTCTGCTGTAGTCCTTCGTCGTCGCAATTCTTCGTTTTCGTTTCTCATCGCAGGCTTTCGTCCCTGCTTTTGTCGTGGACATTCCTAGGCGTGGGCTCCTCCTTGAGCTCAAAGCAGAGTGTTCGTATAGGCTTTCGGCTTTTGCTCTTCCTGGGGCTCAAAGCAGAGAGATCGGTTTCCTGCTCGACTTGGACAAGGGTCCAGTTGATCCCCCTTTCAGCTTTCGGCTTTTGTTCTTCCGTTTACTGTTATTTCGCTATTCTATCTTTGTGTTTGTCTTTTGGTGATGGCTTCCGACAAATCATATGTTGGTTGTCTGATACATCTAAAATATATAATGTTTTTATACACAATTTTATATCTATTTTTGATTTTATATCTATTTTTGAGATAATACACAATTTTATATCTATTTTTGAGATATTGCGTTTTAATGGAAGGTATTTGTGTATTTTTTTCTTCAGGTAGAAATAAAAATGTAAAAAATACTAAAATGAGTGAAAAAGCATCAAATTTGGACCAAAAATGCAAAAAAGGTGCAAAAGTATTTTGGCGCCTAAGCGCCGGTGAAACACTGCCCTTGCAGCAGTCCACGCTTCAGGTACTCTTACACCGCGCTCTTTCACTTTTTTTGAGTTGGGGAAGAGGACATCAAGAAACCTGGTAGGAAGCATGTGAAGCAAGCTATATTTTTTACGGAAGCTGAATGTAATCAGCTTGTTTCCTCCTGTCGTCTGAATTTAGTCGAAAAATTTCTTTATGTCCCTCCTAAAATGGAGCTTATACAGGAGGATTTTGAGCTTATGCACCTTGTTGGATTGGAAAATTAAACTTTTAGATGGAAGACACATCCTTATTCAACTTAATAATGAAGAGGATTACACATGCTTATTTGCTAGAAAATTAATCTGGATTGATAACAAAGCTATCAAAATTTTGAAATGGTCTGTGGATTTTGATCCACATACGGAGCCAACAATCATTCCGGTTTAGATTTGTCTTTCTAGCCCGAAATTTTATTATTTTACTCAGAAATTGTTATACTTGATTGCTTCAGCCTATAGTAAGCCGCTCAAAACAGACATTCCTACATTCAATCTTTCTCGTCCCTCTGAAGTCAGGGTACTTATTGAAAGGGACATCACTTTAATTGTTTCTGAGAAAATTTGGTTAGACACACAACATCATGGATATTGGCAGAAGGTTTTGATTGAGTCTTTCCCTTCGTATTGCTCAAAGTGTCGTATGTTCAGCCGTTTTATTTCTCAATGTCATCATCTACACTCCCCATCTCAGACCAAAGAAACAAAGTGCTCAGTTAGAGACAGTGCTTCCCGCTCCTGATTTGCTCCAAGTTATTGACACTATTGATCATCAGAAGGATACTCCTGAAGATGTTATTATCCTCGCAAGTAATATGTCAACCTTTCAGCCTCCACATAATCATGATGTAGGTTCCCTGTCAGTGGAATCTCCTTTCCTGGGGGCGGGGGAGACTCTTCAGACTTCACTTGCCCTAGAACCTATCATTGATATAACAAGTGACAATATTTCTACTGTGCTTCCGACTCATTAGGACGAACAAGTTGTTACTGTTACTCAGGCACATGGGGCTCTTAATGTGCAACAACCTACACATATTCAACCAGCTTTGGACCAATCCACTGATCAGATGAGTCAATCCTCGGAAGAAGAATGACAGGTCTATACATCTAGGAAGAAGAAGAATTGAGGCCTATTACCAAACTTGATGGATGACACATTATTTGTTTCGTGTATTGACAGCAAACTTAGCAATTTGTTAGCAGGCTCCCGTCCTAGAACTAGAGGCAAAGACAAGGCTAAATTGAATCTTTCGCATGCTAACTAAACCTGCGAGTGCTGACAGACTATTGGTGTTTTTTTTTTTTCTGTCAACTTTTCAATCTTTTTTTTTTGGATATACATGTATCTTTACATGTGGTGTTGTATGTCAGGTGCATAGGGTGCTATTTTGGGCCCTTTCATCCAAAATATCTGTACCTTTTCTTTTATTAATATATTCGCCTTTGGGCTTAATATATATATAGACACACACACACACACACTTTACTCAATTCAATTATAATCCTACTCAAAAAGAAAAAAAATGCAGAAATAAAAATAAAAAGTTTTGAAATACCTCTTCTCATTTACACAACTCACACAGGAGAGAATAATAAATCAAATTAAAACAAAAAGAAAAAAAGTTGAAAAAGTTGCACATATCATAAATATGCATAAGGAAAATTTTGATGTATAATGAGTTAAGAGGGTAAATAAAATGTTATGCCAGCATTCAAAAGCTTAACAAGGAATACCTTTCCAATCCTTTGGAATGCAAAAATGCCTCTTGTAACAGCCAGTTGGATTGTCCACAGGAACATAGGGTGGATTAAGCGGAAAGGGATAAGTAATATTTGTATAGATCGGGCAATCAAATCCATGCATCTGCCAATTTGAAGGAACTGTTTAAGAACAGTATGGTTAGTTTTCACCAAATTTAATCAGAAGAATGCAAATGAAATTTCGAAATTTTATTGGTTCACTTTTCTTCTCCTGTATATAAGTTCATTAGATTGTAGTCATATTTTTCCCAATAGAATTGAGTGCTTTCTCATCCCTGTTTGACATGGTTTCAGTTAAAATTCAAATTAAAGCTTCGAGCTCGTATAATAAATAATTAATATAGGCAATCATGATGTGATTAACACATAAGTCTGCTCTGAGAAAGCTCTCACACAATATATGAAAATTGACAAGTATTTCTAGAATCAATATCCAAAAGCTCCAAACCATTTAACTACCAATCTTCAATAGAACAGTAGCTAAGACAAAATCAAAGTAATCTAAAAGTAGAATACTTAAGAAAAAAGTGTCAAATGATTCCCAGACCGTTAACAAGAGGGCATTTAGTTCTATAGTTCCTAAAATGTCTTTAGTCCCCAAACTCTTGTAATATGAATTAGAATAGTCCTCACAGAAAACTATTTTAACCCCATTAAATCAATTTGTAGACTAATTTAACACTTTTATAAACTCCGGGACTAAAATGGCATCATCTAAATAGTGAGGAGGTTATTTTAACACTTTACTCGAATACTAAAAGATTTGAAAAGTCAATATGCAAACTATGCTATATGAGACAAAAAAATTTATGATAAGAGGACTGCTCTAAGAAAATCCTTTATTACACATACTATATTCGACGGGAAAGTGTCACATTCTATCACACAAAAAGTAGATCGCAATAATACAAGGCAAATAAAAACTGAAATTCATCAGAAGCATATTAAATTCACGAGCAAGCATGAAATGCAGATTAGGGTTGTGTATTATTTGGTAAAAACCGAAAAAACAAACCAAGCCGAACAATTTTGATTGATTCGGTTTTTTTATTTTTAGAACCTCAATATTCGATTTTCGGTTATTAGTTCAAATTTAATTTATATTTAACCGAACAAATTGAAAAATTAAAATTTTAAAATTAAATGGATGACTCCTAAAATTAAATTGATATTATACATGTAAGATATGTGAGCCTTGATATTTGTTCACAACCAAATTCTTACTAACAAACAAATTTTTGTTTGTCATGACCCAATCGTTTTAAACCGAATTGAATTTCAGCTTGGTGGTTCAGTTTTATCAAAATCTTCTTTGGTATGGTTTTTCGGGTTTTAGATTTCAATTACAATCGGTTTAACTAATTTGGAAACCGAACCATCCAAACCAACGGAATGCTCTAATGCAGTTGGATCAAGTAGAGAAAGAAAAGAGTTAGGATTCCAGAGAAAATTAAGCATGACACTTGCCTGGCAATGAATCCCAAACTGAGTCATCAAATCCAGTATCATGGAAGTTCACAGGAACGGTTGTAGGAGAAGAAGCAAGAAGGAATTTCCAATATCCGCTTAAGGACTTAACGTAGGGTAAACCCTTTACCCAAAATTCAGCACTCTCAAGAGCACCGGAAACTGCCTCGTCATTCCATACTGCAGAGTTGGAAAGCAAGAAATCCACATTACTCCGCTCATACCAATATCTGAGAGAACCTACACCACAAATACAAATAAAACAAGTTAACAGATCTTCAGTAAATATATGGCAGACTTAAAGACTGGAATGGATCAGTATAATTGAGCTGAAAAAAATAAAAAGATAAAAAGAAGACATTATTTGTCAAAAATATAAGCATTCCAAGTAAAAAGGCAATAATTTGAAATATATGTCAAGCATTTACTTACATAACACTCAATTCCTATGAGGGGTTAGCATTTGGTCGCTTTAGATGGATCTATTTGCAAATTGGACAAATCAATTGAAACCAAAATCCAAAATTTGAAAAACTAAACCAAATTACCAAAAATTAATTTGGTTTAAACGGTTAGTTATGAATAGAAGGACATTTAATTATTCGTTGCAATTTGATTATGAACAAAAATTACAAATTACATATATTGCATGTGTAATAAAATTTAATTTCCTAAACCAACTATTTATTTTAATCAGATGTTGCACATATGATTTTTTTTTTGTTACATGAAATGAAAATATAGGAAGATTTACATATATACCACTTAATTTGTATGAATTTATATATCTAACACCAACTTCAATTTTTACATTAATGTCAACTTATGTATGCATAAAAAGGTATATTTTACTTTTTAAAGTAAAAAGGGTGGTATTTTTTGTGTGATATGAATAATTTCGATGGTGTAAATGTAAAAAGCAGAGTTTAGGTGTTGGTTATAAATACATAAGAATTCGGTGGTATGTAGACGACGACAACAACAACAACAAAGCCTCAATCCCGCTACGTGGGGTCGACTACATGAATCCTTTTTCTCCATTGCGTCCTATTTAGTGTCATATTTTCATTTAGTTCTAATAAATTAAGATCATTTTTTATACAATGAGCCCAAGTCTTCCTAGGTATACCTCTGTCTTTCTTAACAGAAGTCGGTCTAAAACATCTACTCTCCTAATAGGATCATCAGATAGTCGACGTTTAATGTGATCAAACCATCTAAGAAGACTCTCTCTAATTTTTTCCGTCGTTGGAGCACTTAAATTTTTAATTAAATTTAGGTGGTATGTATGTAAATGCCCATAATATATAATAAAAAATTTTAATTAAATTTCAGTTTTTTGGTTTGTCTAGTTGAATTAAAACGAAAACCGATCTAATAACCGAAAACTGAATATTACGGTTTTAAGAACCAAAAACCAAAATGCATTTTTGAAATCGAACCGAATCAATCAAACAAGTTCAGCTGAATTCGGTCTTTCAGCTCTGACCGAATAATGGACGTCCCTAATTCCTATGCAATTACATATCTAACACCTACACTTTACCATCTATATTTATGCCACCCAAATCTTTCATACCACATCAAAAATATCATTGTTTCAACTATTAAAAAGTAAATTACACTTTTTTCAGGCATAGGTAAGCTGGCGTGTGTGTAAAAATTGAAGTTTAGGTGTTACATATGTAAATACATAGAAATTGAGTGGTATTTATGTAAATCTTCCCTTTTGTTATGTGTATGCACACACTATTGCGAGTACCCTTTGCCACAGCTTACATTATGGACATTAATAGTCATCAAATTTTCTTGAAGCACTACAGCTAAAAATTCAAAGGGACCAATTAGTACCCAAAAAGGGTGAACATTGTCTCTCTCTCTCTCTCTCTCTCTTTCTCTCTCTCTCTCTCTGTGTGGATTACATTGATACCATATAATGAAAAGGGATGTTTAAATACATAAATACCACCCAATTTTTATGTATTTATATACTAACACCTCAACTTTACATTTTGCATTTATTCCACCCAAAATTTTTCATACCATATAAAAAAATATCACAATTTTAACTTTTCAAACATAAAATACACCTTTTCATCCTTAGGTAAGAAGTCATATATGTAAAAATTGAAGTTTAATTGTTAGAAATGTACATACATGGGAATTAAGTAGTATGAATGTAAATCTTCCTGATGACAAAAAAATCAAGAATAAATTAATGTGCAGAAAATGAAGTGAAAAAAGACAGGAATGGTAGGATTTAGCCACAGCAAAATGGAGAGCTTTTACCTTCAATAGTATCATGAGACCGCAATGGTACATGAGCGTCACGCTTTCTCCACTTGAAGTAAGAAGGATCTTCCCAAACTCTGCTTGAATGGTTCATGAAGGAGAAAAGTGTAGCTGAAGATGCTACAGCCATGTTAACAAACAAAATTCTCTTTTATAGATAAATAATCTCTGGCTATCAAGGTAATTCAAGCCCTGCAAAGTACAAATATCATAGGTTTTTGTATAACAATGATAACTATATGAGAATAAGTCCGATATGTGCAATAATTTGGACGATAAAATCAGAATATCATGAAAAATGAAGTCATGTCGAGAGGATCAAAAAGAATGTACGCGTTTAAAATATATTATAGGGAATGAAAAATGTGTCAAATTGATCCCTTACTCTTTATAAGTTCCTATAATCTTTAAAATTATCAATTTAATCCCTAGACTCTTTCAAAGTGGATTTAAATAGTCCACAAGAAAGACTATAGGGAAAATATTGTGCTAGAATAGAACCCAAAATACTTTTTATTGATAAAAAGAGGGGTATTATACCTACTATAGGATCAACTAGAAAGAAAAAAATTAAACTTAGGATATAATAGAAAGAGGGAGAAATAAAACTGAATATAATAGAAAAAGGAATGAAATCAAAGGAAATAACTCAGAATTAAATAATGACTATTACTAGTCATTAAAATATTCTAATACTCCCTTTAAGTTGAATCATAGTTGTCAGTCATGTTCAACCTGGACATGTTCAATTTGTACTTGATATCATCGAATAGTTGTCGAGGAATGTTCTTTGTGAAGATATCCGCCGGTTGGCTACTGGATAGCGCAAACAAAACGCAAATATCCCTAGACTCGAGTTTTTCCTTAATGAAGTGTCGGTCAATCTCAACGTGCTTAGTGCGATCATGCTGTACCGGATTGTGAGCAATGTTAATGGTTGTTTTGTGATAGTTTTGTTATCACAAAACAACCGTAGAGAAACGGAAACTAGCATACACAGTTCTCGGAGCATGGTGTGTAACCAGAGTACCGCACAAATTCCTAATGAAATGGATCGAAATATTGCTTCAGCACTGCTCCGAGCAACCACGGATTTCTTTTTGCTTTTACATGTGATCAGGATTTCCCACACAAATGAGCAGTACCCCGAGATAAATCGTGAATCATGGAAGGATTCAACCCAATCAGCATTTGTGAAAACAGAAATATTGCAAGAGGTGTGGCGGGAAAAATACAAATATGAGTCTGATGTGTCTTTTAAATAGTGAGAAATCAGCTAGATAGCTTAAAGATGGTGCTCACAGGGGTCATGTATGAATTGACTATCCCAACTGTGTGGCACGTGTCAGGGCGTGTATGGGTAAGGTATATGAGTTTTCCCACAGGGCGTTGGTTGCTAGTCTTGTTTATTGGAACTGTCTTTGGAACATCAAGAAGCTTTTCATTTAGATCCATCGGGACAGCTACTGGTTTGTATAAAAGAATATTGTTCTCAGTCAAAAAGTTCAATGGCATATTTTTTTATGAAATAGGCAAATACCCAGAGATGATCGAGCAACTTCCATGCCTAAAAAGAACTGGAGAGATCTCAAGTGCTTCATCACAAATGAGGTAGCAAGAATGCTTTTCAAAGATTCCAATGCTAGTAGAGTATTCCTTGTGAGAACAATATCATTGACATAAACAATAAAGATTGATATTGGTTGTTGGAGGAATATCGGAAGAAACGTGTATGGTCTAATTGAGCCTGAGAGAATCCATGACCTACTACCACCTTTGTGAACTTCTCAAACCTTGCTCGTGATGATTGCTTTAGTACATAGAGGGACTTTCGCAATCTAAATACTTGCCCCCGGGAGGCAGTGGAGTCAAAGCCTGAAGGAAGAGCCATGTAACCGCATTTTTTACTTCAAGCTGGAATAAGGGTCAATCCAAATTCACTGCAAAGAATAAGAGAACCCGAATGGTGTTCAATTTAGTCATTGGAGCAAATGTCTCATTGTAGTCATCTCCATAGGTCTGTGAGTACCCTTTGGCGGCCCAAGGGTACTCACAGGGCGGCCAAAGGGTACTCACAGACCTATGGAGATGACTACAATGAGACATTTGCTTAATGCTAAAAATCCACCAGTATCTCACTGTTTTCTTGCCCCGAGGAAGATTAACAATGTCCCAAGTATGGTTTCTCTTAAGGGCATTCATCTCCTCCACGGCAGCAGCTTTCCAAGCTGGGTCTGCTAAAGCAACTTCAATAGTGGATGAAAGTTGATGATTTGTTAGGGCATAGCAAAAGTTCTACGTTTTGACAATAATCTGTGAAAGGAGACAGTTTGCCACAGGATAAAGAGAATATATCTGATTGTGTACCTTACTAAGGAAACCGACTTTCTAATTTTGAGTCGAAGCAATGTTGGGGATGTTGTCCGGAGGGCATTCAGAGTCCAACAAGGTGTTAGCAAGCTCCTAAGTAGGTGCATCAAAACTAGTGCATCGAGCATAGACACGAAGAGTGAGACGGTGTGCAGGTGGAATCAAAGGAACAGATGGCTCTTCAGTGATAGGAGAGATGGGTGGAACAAAATGAAACAAAGGTTCCTTGATGGTAGGTGTCGTGGGAGGAACATTCACAGAAGTAGGGTAAGGAACGGTGTCCAAGAACTCTAGCTCCCCCAAACTTGAGGTCGAGTTAGGGAGGTAAAAAACACTTTAAAAAAAAGAGACATCGACACTAACATGGACCTTATTTGTGGTAGGGTTAAGACACTGATAGCCCTTTTGCGTGACAGAGTATCCTAGAAAAACACATTTTATGGACCTAGGATCAAATTTACTCCGAGTTGAGACTGTGTTCCGAACAAAGGTTGTGCACCAAAAAATTTTAGAGTGTAAAGTGGAGAAGACGCGATTGTTAAGAAATAACGATTTTGAGACAAATAAAGGATACAAAAGTTGTGAATTTTTTAGGAGATTATATTTATGAGATAAGTGACGGTAAAAATGACACCATTCCGGTAAAAATGACACCATTCTCCACTTTGAAATATTGAAATAAAACATAATGGAGTGAGTGACGTCGAAGAGATATCGGTTTTTCCTCTTGGCTACCCCATTTTGTTGAGTAGTTTCGGGACAAGAGCTATGATGGAGGATGTCCTTACTTACCAAGAATTCTCTTAATATAAAATTAAAAAATCAACGATCATTATCAGTCTGAAGAACTTAAATAGGAGTTTTGAATTGGGTCAAAATGAAGGTATAGAAGTTTTTTAAAGTGCCAACAGGTTCAGATTTATCTTTTAAAATATAGACTCATATTATCTGAGTGTGGACATCAATCAAAATAAGAAATCATCGTTTATTGGTATAGTTAGGAGTGCGAGAGGGCTCCCATAAGTCACTATGAATAAGAGATAAATGAGCGGAAGGTGTGTGATTGTGGAGTGGATAAGGGACACGATGATGTTTAGCCAACTAAAAGGTTTCATATTTGAAATTAGAAAAATTTTTATTAGTAAACATCAACAGATACCATTGTTTTAATACTGGAAATTAGAATGACCTAAACGATAGTATAACATAATAAGACGATCAGTAGATTGAGATAAAACTACAACTACTGGGTAAAGTGTACTCATTCTTTGTGTATTTTTCTTGGAAGAAGTAAAGCTCGCCAACCTGCACAGCAATTCCAATCATCCTTCCCGAACAACAATCCTAAAAGAAACACACATCAGAGAAAAAATGAGCAGCGCAATCAATATCATATACTAGCTTACTGACTAATAAAAATTTATATTTCAACAGAGGTACATGTAAAACAGATTTCAGAGTTAGGTTTGTCGTTAAAACAACAGACCTTTTACCAGCAATAGAGCTTTTAGACCTGTCAACAATTTTAATAATATATTTTCCTGAACAAGAATAGTATGTTGAGAAGGCTTGAGAACTTCTAGTCACAAATACAATAAAACAAGTTAACAGATCTTCAGTAACGCAAATATCCCAGAGAACCTACACCACAAATACAAATAGGATTTATAGGCTTGAGAACTTCTAGTCATGCGATCTGTGGCACCTGAATCAATGAGTCATGAACTAGAAGAGACAAAAGAAGTGACTGTCATAGGATTTATACCTTGACGAACGTGAAAGGTTGACGGGCCGGAAGACAGCAGGTTGGATCCAAGCATCCTAACCAATTGATCCATTTGACTCTTAAGAGAATTGCAGGATTATGGATTATCCTGAGCAGAGGTCAGTTGTACGGTGTTGGATTTTGATGATGTGCTGAGACCCTTGATAGCGAAAGATTTAGCCGAAGGTTTGGATGCAAGTTTTTCGTGGAGCATCCAACACTTATCATAAGTGTAGTTGGGTTTGTGGCAGAAATCACAAATGGGGTGACCAGCCTGGTGTTGAGCACTTTCAAAGACCAGAGCGGATGCTTTGACAGACGAAGTGGAAGTACCGAGCATTACAAGTCTCTGGCTCTTTTCCTGACGAACCTCAGTGAAAACAACCCGAGTAGAAGGAAAAGGATCCCGACCAAGAATATGGCCCCGGACTTCGTCAAGATCTTTCTTGAGGTCTGCCAAAAATTAAAACATGCAATCATTTTCTATAATTTAATGAAAAAAAGACAGGTCGGTCGTAGATTTCTAAGTATAATCATAATATAAATCGCATTTCATTTATAATGCAACTAGATCATTATAATATTGGGTCACGGTCCTGGATCTTTATTTTGCCTAACAAATTTTCTTAGATATCTTATAGAGTTGGTTGGAATTTCAAACATCCGAGTAGGTATCACAAACTGTCATCCAGAGGGCATTGGCGAAAGGAAGAAACATATATGATTGGTCAATCAAAGTTTCCATGGAGTTGTCAGCCACAACATGTCCATGGAATTCTCTACTTCCCAAGCCCCATACACTGGGACCGTCTTTGGAGATTCACGAATCATACTAGTGAGATGGCCAAATTGCTCACGCCATTTAATGAACAAAGATATATATTTGGACCATTGGAGAAAGTAGTTGTTTTTTAGTTTATGAGTCGTGATCGGGAAGTTCGTGTTGTTTTCATGTCCTCCAGTCTGAAGACCAACGGAGGTTAGAATTAATCCTCCTGTGGCATCAAAAACACATTCTGATGATGGCTCAGTGTTGGAGTGGCACGCCGTGTTTCCGATTGAGCCAAAGGAGATGTTAGGTTGTTGAAACATCTTAAAGCTCCGACTGCTAGAGGAAAGGATAATGGTCTTGGGAGGATAAGATCTTCTAGTAGGAGACAAAGTTTCCAGCGATCAGATCAAATATGCTGGAAGAAATCTAAAGTGGAATCTGACATACTTCTATATTAATACAGCAAGAAACTGACAGAAGTTGGAATCTGATAGAAAAAAACTGGTAAAAGTTGTAAACTAGTAGAAGTTATGCAGAATTTTGTATAAATACAGTCACACAGACAACAACTTTCAAGGAATTCTTGGCACGAACAGTTGCGGACGGGAACCAATTTTGGAGGCAAGAAATATGGTAATTCTTGGACCAGAAGCTGGAGACGGGATCCAGGAGGTGGGATTAGGGAAGGCAGGCCCAGCCAGCTTCAGGAACTTAGATGCAGAAAAAGCCGGCTACAGGGAGAGCCCGACCGCTAGGTTAGGGCATGGCTCTGATATCATGTTAGAATAGAACTCAAGATAATTTTTATTGATACAAGAGGGGTATATATACCCATTACAGGAACAACTAGAAAGGAAAAACTAAACTTAGGATATAATAAAAAGGGAAAGAAATATAACTAAATATAATAGATAAAGGAAGAAAATCAAAGGAAATAATTCAGAATAATCAGAATTAAAAAATGGTTATTACATTAAAATATTCTAGTTTATTGTTAAGGGTTGTTACAATTGAAAATGTCAGCTTCTGTAATTTAATACAATGACCTAAAAACAAGTAAAAGGGATGAGACCATATTTGTCTGCTTGACATCTAATTGAAAATGATTAATAGTTTCAAAAGTTGTGAAGCTTCCATCCAAAAAAATGACCAAGAAAAAAGAAATTAGACATTCAAAGTTTTATTATTGCATAAAAACTAACATAAATGTTCTATTGATAATTATCTATTTCTTTGCTATGTTATTTCTTTCAACAAGGTCAAAAAAATCTCAATATCTTCAAGATAGAAGCTTCATTTGGTACATTTTTCTGCAATTTGCTTCTAGTTAATAGAGTAGGAGCAGTTTTAAGGCAACGTAAGTAACAGGCACGAGGAAAAGTATAGTTGCATGAAAATTGAAAAATAGGTTTATCTGGCCTCTAAAAAACCAAGTTGATGTATTCAAGTACTGTCAAATTGGTATTTTAGATGGCGTATCGCAAATTAATTAAAACACAATGTAAAAATTTTACTCCCTTATGACAGTTTTATTATACAACAACAAGAAACCTTTATCCCACAAAGTGGGGTCGCCTATATGAATCTTTATTTCTTCATTGTGACATATTGAGTGTCATTATCTTTTAATTCTAATAAATTAAGATCATTTTTTATACAACATGGCCAAGTCTTTTTAGGTCTACCTTTACCTTTCTTAACACAAGTCAAGTCAAATCTAAAATATCTACAATCTAAAATATCTACTCCCCTAACAGGATCATCAGATGATCACCATTTATTATGACCAAACAATCTAAGCCAACTCTCTATAATCTTGATCGACATATATGCTACTCCAACACTTTCATGGATATTCACTTTGCATTTTGTCTCTAAGTGTAAAGCCGCTCATCTGCATAAGCATTATCATCTCAGTGTCACTTAATTTTATGCTTCTCTTTTATATGCCAATATTTTGCACCATAAAGTATTGCAGGTCTAACCATCATCTTATAAATTTTTCTTTTAAATTTAAGTCGTACTTCGCTATAACACAATAGGCCTGATGCATTCCCCAACTTCAACCATCCAACATGAATTCTACTAATAACATCCCCATCAATATCACCATTACTATAAACAATAAACCCTAGATATCTAAATTTCACTCCTTTTAGTGACTTGTCACCGATTGTACAAAACCTTCACTAGATCTACTACTATTAAAATTATATTTCATGCATTCAATTTTAGATCTACTCAAACGAAAGTCTTGAGATTCTAATGTTGACCTCCATAAATCAAGTTCTTTCCTGAACTCTCTTTCTAGTTTGTATCCATGAGAAGGACATCATCAGCAAAAAGCATACAACTAGGTATATCATCTTGTAAGTGTCCAGTAAGAAAATTCATAAACTAAAGATATGGGCTTAAAGCAGATCCCTGATGAATCCAACTGAAATAGGCATAAAACCCTATAACTAATTATCTATCTTAATCGTAAAAATAAAAACTTTCATTTAAAGTTAGTATATAAGCTTTATAATGACTTGCTTTAGTGATCGTAGAAAGACTGATAAACTACTACTGCCTTAAAGTATATAGTGAAAGAATGATAATGAACACAATAAATATCTCGTGTTTCATGTCAAAAATCATCACAAACCTTGGTTACTTTTAGTCAATGGAGGTGCCAACTAACTTGTTTGAAGGATCCTCACTAACAACCATAATTGTATCATCAAAATTCAATTGGGATCTTATAAACCTGAGATAAAAACTTGATGAAGAACCCAATTTTACCCGACCTTAGCTAACTATGGGCTTAACGTCCTATCAAGAACATTTTGGCTTAAAAGAGGTTTAAAAATAAATGAGTATGTATTTCCTTTTAAAAGACTGGAATTAAAAGATTTCAAAATATTGGCCTTTCATATGGCTTAAAATATTCATATTAAATTTTAAAATTGATTAAGATAATATATCAAAAGTTGTTCATATATTAAACAATCATAAAAAATAAAATCTTAGTAGGATAATTTTCATTATCTAAAGAACTATATCTCAATAATGATGATTAACATATCATGAATCGATCAAGTCCTAAACTAAAAGGATCATGCTTGAGTTCTATCTCCTGCATATGCAAATGCAAAAATATGAATGATTGTCTGGACAATCAACTATCAAACCAAAGGTTAAAACATTTGAGCGAAATGAAAACACTTGAAAGATAATAATGGTCTATGCATTCAAAAAGTATTCCAAATGTACAGAGTGTATAATAAGCCCATATAGAGACTGCCTATTGAGTAAAACAAGAAAGAATTTGAATACAAATATGTATATAAACCAAAAAATGTTCAACCATGGCTATCGCCAAACACAATTATGATGATTTTTTCAAAATCAAACTTATAAAAAAGCTTCCCTTAATAGACCCTAAGTTTGCAAAATCTATCCTTCGATTAAAGTCATGAAAACTCGCATAGGGACTATTTGGTATCATATTTTCAGCGGATTTAAACAATGTTTAGCTCAAATACTAATAAACATAATTTTAGGTATTTTAAATAATATTATTTTAATAAAGCTCATTTCAGCCCCGTTGTTTATTAGGTATAGGATTTGTTAAATCCAACCATTGTCCAAACTGAACAGATTTAAACATTTCTCCCCTTTAAAACATTAAATCCTTCCAAAATAAAAGCTAAACAATTTATCTAGATTTAGAAAAATTTAGTAGTAGTCCCCTCTCATAATTTACCATATTTCGATTAATGGGATTTACTATATCCAACTTGACTTAAATCCCACTTGTAGCAAAAGAGCCATCTAGCTAGCAAATTCTTCATCTTATACTCTCCCCTCGGTCAACTATAGGCCATTCACTATCAATGCACATATGGACTTCACTGCTGTTTACTAATACTATCAAATGCTATCGCAATATTCTATCTTGTTCAAAAGTTAACCTAGGCGTACCAATACTCCCTTGTCTATCATGCCGCATTTCATGTACTTGCAAACACATGCGTCCAAATAAAAAAGAAAACGCCGGATTAAAACAACATTTTTCATCCTCCAATCTCCATTTCTAGTGATAAAAAATCCAGAACCCATTGGATTTCCTTATTAAAGAGATAAACGATAAGTTACCCTGATGAACGAAGAAGAAGACATGGAAGAATCACGGAGCCATCTGGCTGCTGGATAAGCCAAAAGTTCATATGTTCGATCAGGCAATCAGCGAAAGAATGTTTGTGGGTGGTTTATTGGATTGGAATCCGATGAGGGAGACTTGATTTCGCGCCTGTAGCTTCTCCACTGTCCAGGATAGAGAAAATTTGCCGTGGGATTTGATTGGACAAAAAACAAAAAAAAAATTTACGAGAATACCACACTTTTTTATGTATTTACATTCATAACACCATGAGTTTAATACTTGCTTAGTTTATTGATATTTATATTAATAGCAATCAGGTGTTATAACCTTATGCAAAAATATTTAAAAAATTAGTAATAATAGTATTTTTAATGTGATGTTAAATATTTGTGTGTGATATACGGAAAAAATTTGCGTACGTGAGACGTACGCAGCGCTGTGCACGTCAGGAGGTTATTCAGAGAGTATTGGGGGGTTATATCTGTGTTATACCCTCTGTAATGTCCTTGTAACTTACATGTAACATAGTTGTACATTGTAGTAAGTTCCGCGTTTCTGTTTTCATATGTTTGTAGGTTACTGGGAGGTTACATATGGTATAACGCTAATATAACCCCCTTCACCACCCTCTGAATAATGTTCTGACGTACGCAGCGCTGCGTACATCTTACATACGCAAATTTTCCTCGTGATATAAGTATAAAAATTTTAGCAGACACCCAAGTTCATCGACTTAACCACCCTCGCAAGTGGTGTGGCCACATTACCCAGATAGAGCACCTGACATAATTATGTCGGGCCTCAGGCATGGTCACCCTATACCTCTATTTGTGATGCTTTGAACCGTGGGGTGACCACGCTCGAGCTCGATATGGTTAGGTCGACTAGACCAGTTCACGAATTTTGACCCTCTGGTCCCTAGATTTCCGTCGGCAATGCGGCCGACCACTAGTCCGTCTCCTTTTGCTTGGTCATCACCTAAATATGGTATGGGAGATATTTTGGGCCTATCCAAAATTGGGAAAGCGGCTTAGTCTCATGGAGTAATCTTTCTATATTAGTTTAACTGAGACGAGGAGGCTCATTTGCAAAGGATCAGTTGTAACTTTGCTTAGAAGAGCTCGGGGAATAAGAGAGCTTGAGGGAGAGCATTCAAGGAGCTTCCAAGGAAATTTCTTAAGGGATTTCATCTTCTTCAAGGAGGATAAGTTAAGGCAAGCTATTCTTCTCCATTTTCTTCACATCTCCTTTCATTTCTCTGGTCATCTTCTTCATCTCCGGAAACTCTCCGACAAGGAGAGCTTCTTTCAGAATTTGGAGAAGGAAGATTTCAGTTTTCTCGATGTCTGAACTCTCTAACGAGGAGAGCTTCCGCATCTCTTTGGGCATCATCAGTCTCTCTGGTGAGAAAAGCATCTATAGTTAATTACATCTTAAATGACCGAAGTCACTTAAAAAACTCATGATGTTGATCAGGGTCTTTGTCTTCAAGAATTCAATTTTAAGGTTTTTAAGGTTGGACATCGGAAGTCAAATGAGAGTGGCTTAAGTAGGAATAGTTATTATTAGGAGACAAAGAAGTGAAAGGTAAGGAATGTCATGGATCCGAGGAAAACCTCTGTGACTTCCCGAACTATCCTACTATTTAGCATTAAATCTTTGAAAATGATATTATTTGATGTTTAAATCTTGTCATTTTTATTATTTAAGGCTTACACTTCCATGAAACTCAAATCATGCAAATAGCCTACAAAGATATGAGAGTTTACGTCATGCCGAACAACAACCTCGGAGCCTAAATAGAGTTAGGACTTATGATGCTTGACATAATTGTGTGGGAGCTTAAAGATAGTACTAGGATTTATGTCGTGCTAGACGAACTACCTCAAAATCCTATGAGTTATGTTATTTTAAACCAAGAAAAAATTAGTTGAAGTAGATCTTATTTCATGTCTGGCAGAAGTCCTTTTTGTTCACTCGCATCTTCGTCATACTGCCCAAAAGCTTGTCCGAGCTCCATATCGTAGCAATTATGGGTTTAAAATTTATGTGAACATGCAGATTGTTTGGTCAATGGCCTGCCACAATCTACCTCATAACTGGTGTCCTTTTGTTCTCTACCCCGTGGCTTTGCAAGTTTTGTAAATATATGCAGAATTAAAAGTAGCAAAAAGAGTGCAGTTAAAATGCAGTAAAATGCGGCAAATGTAAAATAAACATGCATACATAGAATTTTTGTCGTTGCTGAAAGGTTAGTATAACATAATAAGGTATAAAAAACAAACAAAACGTAAGAAAATCTGAGAAAAACTTAAATAAATAGTAAGAAAACCCAAGCGAATAAAACAAAACGAGGTGTCACATATAGAAGATCAAGCCTGGGTTTAGGAATTTAAGTTATGGGGGAGCTCAGAACCAGGATCGAAGCCCTAACAATTTTTTTCGAAGGAACATCGGAGGGAACTTGTAAGTATCATGCCTGTGAGACCTAACAAAGAAAAAAAGGTTGTTGGTCAGGCAATTATAGGAGGACGGTCCTCAACCCAGTCTGTGTGATTAACACATGAATTTGTCTGGAATAAAATTTTAAAAGTTGAATTTTAATTTATCATGCAAAAGTAGTTCGAATTTTGTAAACATTTAACAAAGAAAATACAAGATTTTTTATTCCCAAAATGCATTTTTATTATACTTTGAAAATCAGACATTCATGAGTCAGTCACACTGACGGGCTAGGACTACCGATAACCCATGAGAATAAGGGGTAACTCTTTACTAAATGTTAGGGGGCAATAATTCAATCGTTGACCAACTAACGAGTCTACGACATACATTACTCCTCACATACCTAGATAACATTCTCATCGTCACTCTTACCATCAAGTCCGCCAACTTACACCAGTCTGATGATCCATGTGTGGTCGCATTAAAAATGTCCCCAATTACTATAAGGGATTGAGTGTAATGTTCAAGCTTATACCCCTAAGCATCGGGTATTACAGTAGGTTTAGTAGAGACGTGATAATTCACATTTTTATGTTTTAAGTTAAATGGTCTTGAATCATATCATGGCGGGTCTTAAAAGATTTCACTTGGTTTAATTTGTATTTTAAGGATAATTTTCCCCAACAAATTGCAATAAATCCACATGTCCTGTGAAATATCCAAAATCTTACAAGGGTGTCTGAAGAATAACTTTGGACTATCTTGGAATTTCCTAGACCATCTCAAGTTCATTGTGTCTTAATACCTTTGTTAGGTCAGTTATCTCATGTTGAGTTAGGATTACATTATTTTGGAGATGTGCTTAATGCATTAATTAATTCATAAATTCAAGGTAAAAGATTGGTTTTAACATTCAATTGAGAATTAAGTGAGTGAGCCTCTTCCTAGGATAAGTTTATAATCCCTATGTCACTTAGCACGACGTCAAAGGTGGTTTACATTTGCACCTCGCACTCTCATATCATTTGAATGGATGGCCCGCAGTCAGATCAGCGTTGTACGATGATCTTACTCTCGCTAAGCCCAAGCAATTTCCATCTCATCCAGGTGACGAGTTAAAGTTCTCAGGGACATCAAACATCTCTCGGTCGCTTCCTCTCATATCTCTACAAGATTGGTTGGGCAATTAACCATGTTCTCGTCACTGTTGACTGGTACTTGGAGCATAGGAGTCGTCACCACAGTTGGATCTCGGTCTTCAATAATTTGAACATTGTAAACAAGAAACAAAAACTGATAAATAAGGATAAAAATATATAAGTCCTAAAATAAAAATAAGCACATGTACACAAAATCTGATCTACCTCAGACCAGGTAGCTCTGTCTACATCCAATGATGCTCATTTCTCTTTGACCAATTGATCACCCTCACCAATTCCTGATGCACCAGTCGACTGAGGAGCATTCATAGCCTCAAACTAACCCAAAACCTCAACCAGGACCTTGATCGACGAGCCAGCAGTTGAACCACCCAACTCCTTCCAAGTTTGAGGTTGAACTAGAGTATCCCGGATTGAGCCTGACGACTATTGCATGCTAGTTTTTTTAACATCTTAGTGTTGAATGAAAATCCAACACATACATACATGTGATAGAAATAATAGGTAGAGACACCGAAAGTTTTTACATAGAAAATTTAAAAAGGGAAAAAACCACGTGGTTTAACCCAATCATAATGATCTCGTGACCTGTGAGTACAAGTATAAACCCGTGTACCACAAACGGGAAAATGTTATAAAGTCTCTTCAAATACATTTTTTGTTTGCAGAAAGGTTCATTGTACAATGGTCGTGAGTGAATGCTACCAAGAGTGATAGCTTGAACATTGGTATACAGTCATCGGGGTACATCGTTGCACAATATTTATGGCACTAAGATGCTCCTTCTGACGCTTCGTGACTCTGCAATGTACATCATTGATTTGCTTGATAATTTGTTGCAAACTAAATCATTACTCTGCATGGAGTACATCGATGACAATGAGTAAAGAGTGAGCAACGGTGGTTGAAGGCAGCCATCAAGTAGTATTTTGATGGTGGTCGGCAGCTATGGGAGTGGTCTTCAAATCTAGAACGACTCTTAGATTCCACTCCTCCTCTAAGTCTAAGTCCCATTCATGAAGGAAGAATGACTTCCTTTACAGAGTCTAGTAGCATCTCCTGTAATAAGGTCGAAATTTAGACCACTCCTCAAACGCCCCATTGTGATTCTGCTCGATGATATTTTATCAACATTTAAGTGCCTTGATGATGTTAGAATTGAGTGATCTTGTGTTCGTTGGATTCGTCCCACCAGCACTTTGGATTTGATTAGAAGCTTGTCAAATTTGGAATCTATTTGAATTTTCAATTAACAATCCAACACTTTCAAAAGTGATTTAACAACTTAATGCATAATTGATTTGACTCGGATTGAACCAATTTTGATGTCTCTGAGTTCATCTTATCGAGTAGGTCAATTTGAATGTAAGTTTATAAAAATTGGAATCCTCCATGATTTTTAATTTGAATTTGATTGTATTTCTTCTCAGAAAATATCTCTAGATTCCTGCCAATGTGAAAATGTGTTGACGACATTATATTTTCTTAGTTAATTATTTTCACATTAAACTGATGATATATATTAGAATGAACTATCAAAATAAGATGCAAATATATTGAATTTACTTGATAAGAATTAAAAAACTA